AATATGCAACCTTCCATACGGCTCTATTATTCCTCAGAGTCCTGTGATGGAGCAGCACCCCATCACACCATCCAATCCAGTAATCAGTAATCTATTATCTCAATTTAATAGGCAGCAGGTTTAAAATAAGGTCTTTCCCCTCCCACAGGTATCACAGTTCATTCTACTAAATCTAAACCAATTTACCTGTTAGCCTGGATTAGAAGGGTGCATGTACCCCAGATTTTTTATCAAGCCAACACACACCATGTTATATGTATTGGGCCACCATGAATTAATAAAATAGAATGGTATCCAGTTACAGATTAATTTGAACAAGCAGAGCTTCTGAAGGCGAAGTCTAATATATCTGCAAGCTTGGAGTTTCAGATAATTAGTATGGTAGAAGGGGAGAGAAAAAGTCAACAATTGAGAATGTAAGTGGATGGGAACCTTGGAGTTTGGGCATTTTTGACATAGACATTTATTATGACTAAAATTGGGAGGAATGTTCGTTGATAAATAATTTATTGCTGTTAGGAGAAGTGTTGACCTAGTAGGGGTCACTATGATCTGTGTGTTTTGCAAAAGTTAGCTACAAAAGGATTAGATAATAGAGAATACTTTGAAGCAGCCTTCTGAAGCTAATCCTGAGAGGAGTTTTTCCTGACATCTTACTCACCGGGCAGGAAGCAACCTGCTATTGCTGAACTGCTGCAATTTAATCAATACCACCCCCGATTTTAGGTAAATACTTGGGATATTCTAAAACTATTGTTTGTGTCTCTATGTGCGTAAATCTAGTAAATTGTAGTTTTAGATAAGCACAAGCTTACTTGTAACAATCTTTCAGCACCCAGAGGGCTACATTCCCATTGATTTATTCCTCACACTGGCTGGAATGAAACAGTTAAGTTACCACTACTGTGGGTTCTGAAAACTCTGGGTAAAATATGCTGCTGACCTTTGGAATGTTTCTTTTGTTCAAGAGATGTGTTGAGTTGCTACCTGGAGCTTTATCCACACATCAAAATATTACTCATGGCATCTGGTATCTAGACCAAACACAAATTTGCAAGAATGGTTCCGCATTTTATTTCACCGGGACTGTTTAAGACTTTCCTATCAGGTCAGGGAACTGCTTGCTAATCACCATGAATGGGACAGGCACACAACTGAAGAAAAACAAAACCCTTACTTTACAGCAGTATTTTTCAATCTCTTAATGCTGGTGACCCTCCCTCTCCCCATTTGGGCTTAAAAAAAGAAAATGGTGACCCTCTCCTACCAAAACTTGAAAAAACTTCTCCCCCCCCCCCCATCTTAAATATCATTAAAGGACATTATGAATAATACTTGGGGAAGGAGATGTCAAGTAGGACATTTGCCCAGGGGCCTATGTTATGGGGGCCTCACAAAGCAGTTATATGCTTCAGCTGCAGTCAGTGAGGGACCGAAGCCAGTAACTTAGCTTCCCGGGGATGGGGCATCAGGCAGTTCCCTGCTTGCCACACGTGTAGGGTAGGCATTATTGGGTAACATCCCGCCCCCTCCCCCCACCTGTCCCACAATTACCCTGGGAATCATGTCCCCAGTTTGAGAAACACTGATATAAACTCTAGTTCTTTGAGAGGCATGCCAATCCTATGACCCACCCTCTTTTCCCACCTCTTGAGAATCCCTGTATACAAATAGGATTCTGAAGTGACAAGCAAGCACAGCAGTAAGGGGGCATGAAGATATGCAAGACACACATGCCCCCAAAACTGCTGGCCAAAAGATTTCAGACTTGTGCATACAAGTAGAATCCCAAGAACAAAGCATTTCAAAGAATGAGAAACTGTAAGATAAGGATCTAGTTTTTCCTCTTGCTGCAATACAGTCCTAATTCCAATAAGTGATAGGTCATTCTACACCAGTAAATTCAGATGGGTCATTGCAAGTCTATTTATACCATGCACACAAGTAACTTTCTTGATTGAAGTGTCTTCAAAAGGAAGGCTGTCATTGTCTAATAGATCAAAGAATACTCTGAGGAAAGAGTAGATAATATATGGGGTTTTTTTACATTTATGTTAGTTCCCAGCTTTGTATTACCTTTTCCCCTCTAGGCATACATAAAAATGTCTCAGTTTCAAAGTGCAGGTAATATTGCAAGGTAATATCCTCACATACACCAACACAATCTGCAAGGTATTTACAAATGAAATATTGTGTAGTCAGTTTTCCAGATACTCTAAAACATACTCTTTAATTCCAAAGATTTAGCTATACAACTTAGAGATGTAAGTGACTAGTCGAGTCACTGCTCGACTATTCGCTCCTCCTTTAAAAGCTGGCTCCCCCCTGCACCATCTCCCGGGTGCAGGGGGGGAGCAGGGAAGGCAGAGCAGCAGCCGTCCCAGAACCGGCACAAGTCAGGACTGCTCTGTCCCAGCTCACACCCTGGAAGTTAACCCCTCTTTAAAATGCAGGGCCACAGCAGAGATAGAAAGTGCTCCCTCCCCCCCAATCGACTACTCGATTAGCTAATTAACTGTCACTTAACATCCCTACTACAGCTTTCATTACAGTTTGATAGACATCGCTGTGCTCATAAATTATCCCTTGGAGACAACATTTTAAACTTGATCATATAGCATGCAGGCCGTCCTTGCTATAAGTCCAAGATGCATTCCAAAAAAACTTGGACTTATAGCGAAACAACTTAAAGTGGGGAATTTTTTTCCCCACAGCTGACTTCCATTTAAGAAAATTGGGGGGGAGTGTTTTGCACGACTTATAGCGGGGAATGGGAGAACTGATAATCCATCATTTCCTACAAACATCAATGACTGTAGTGTGGAACGGATGTGTATCAGGGCAACTTATAGTGGGGATGTCCTGTACTCTAAACTCAACAAAATGTTGCTTAGGGTGATGTAAATGCTGAAGGCATAATGATTTCATGCATATTACTTTTCAAGAATGTTAGAATTAAGAACTTTAGTATCAAAAATACAGAATTCAGGCTACACCTAAACAATGATAGAAATTTTCCACTATTTGATCTGAGGAAGTGGGTCTGGCCCACGAAAGCTCATCATCTAATAAACCATCTTGTTAGTCTTTAAAGTGCTACATAGTCCTGTATTTTGTTACACCTAAACATGGCACTATTCTGTGGATACATTGAAAGTGTGCACCACATAACGCCTACAATTTGTTTTTAGATACGTGGGTCTAATACTAAGTGTGATGCTTTGTCATCACACTAACCTTTGTTCTTTGCCTGGCAGTGCTCTAAAAGCACCATCTAATGAGCTCTATGTTGCTAGCTCCTTCTAGTGATATTTGGATAATTGGCTGGAAGAAGGTGTATCCACAAAACCTTTACCTTGTGAAGTACTAAGCATCCTCACTGCCTTGTTAACCAGGCCTTTAATGAACAGTGAAGAAAATTCATCTCAACAGACATCGTTTTGAAACCTTAAGATAGCAAGATATTCACCATATAACCATCGCAAATTACTGAATTTTGCAAAGTTACATATAAATGAACAATCAGAATAAAAGTCACAAAAACTTTTTTGGTTGGTTGGAGTTTTTGTTAATCATAGTTCAATTTTAAGCATTTATGGTAATGCTGTAGAGGTTTCTACATTTTAGACGGCTGGCATCCCAGAGCACTTGATGATGGTGGAAAGCTGGTTGGTAACATGGTGTAGGCACCACTATTTGTTTCCAGATGATAATTAAAAGAAGCTAACATTACATTAAATATTTCTTAATATTACTTTTCTGTAAGCAACTGCTGTAGATAACTTACAAACGTTACATATGATCATGAATAAGAGAGAATGTTGCCCATATGTTGCAAATGGGAGGGCAGGTAGCCCATGAGATTAAGATAAGGTCCACACTATCAAAAAAATAAATTTGAGAACCTCTGACGTAAAATACATGTTATGGTTAGATTATTTTTACAATGCAAACCCCGTTACAACATCTACTCTTACCCGATGCAAGATAAGAGCATCCTGTCAAATGTGTTGTAAATTAAAGAGGTTCTAATGCATTCAATAGTTACTTTAATTAGAGCAAAAATACACCTAAAATCAAGAAAGTTGCAGATACATAATGATTTTTGTTTTAAATAAAACAAAACAAATCCCTGTGGAATTCAAAGTTAAGGAACTATTTCATTCTGAATGCACCGCATTTATGTACTAGCACACATGTTGAGGTCAGTTCTAAACATGTGCTGGGAATGTATGGAAGAATTTACTTAAGGGCATTAAAGATTACACTCTGTTCAGAGTCCCTCAATACCTAGGGTACAATGGACATTACACTTTACTAGAATTTAAGTTGTTAATTTCTTAACTCTTTCCTATCCCCCAAATTTAAGTCAGGCCCTTATTTTTAACATGAGGTTTTTCAAAAGCATATTTATATAGGTAATATGTTACAAATTTTATCATTTGATGTATTTCCTTTTAATAAGGAAGTCTACAATACTAGTCGCTATTACTCCTTTAACTCTGACACGCAACAGTTTAAACCTAAAATAGCATTAAAGTGCACGTGCATTTTATAGGCTTCATAAATTAGTTTAAAACACTAGATATTAACTTTTCATTTGCTTATTAAAACTGGAATAAAAGAGAGACCGTATTAAATTTAGCAAAGATAAGCATGACTAGCCAAGACGTGGGTAATACAAGTGTAAGTTCCTTCCTAAAGAAATTTTTAAAAAGGAAGTTGCAACCTGTTTACAAGTAGATTGGTAAATAAATCAACTTAATCACAGTGTGTCTGGATAAACGATCACCTTTCAAGTAATAGTTTCTTATCTTAAACCAGTCTTCTTAATCAGTCCATAAAAGGGCATGGAACGATGTGTTAGTTCAGTTCCTAACTTGAAGTGTTTGATACAAACTTCTGTTGGCGAGAGAGACGCTCTT